AACCTTCATCTAGACAAATTTTACAAAATATTATTAATACTAAACTGTTTATATTGTGTGAAATATATAAAAAAAAAATATAAACAAACTTAAATTTTAATAAACAAAAGCATATAAATCAAGTTTTATTAAATTATAAATATATAATTTATTTGAGAAATATTTTAACAAGATTAAAATTTTTTAATTTTATTTAAAGAAATAATCTACTTGTCACTGGCGATGACAGTACCGGTTTTTATTTCAAGCTATATTTAGGGTCAGAAAGGGTCATAATATATAGTAAAGTTATGCAAGGAATATATTTTGTTAAGACACGGAAATTGATTTCATAGACATAATTTTGAGTCATTTTGATTTGAAATTTTTGAGGGTTTTGAATCGTGCAATCTGATTGGCCTGGGTCTGTCACCGCCGGCGACAAATAGATTCACTCTTATTTAAATTTATATAAAAATACATTGCAAATCACATGTTCGATGAGTATTTAAATTCGCAACAGCCAGCCCAAAAATCTCTCAAACCAATAAGATTTAATACGAGAAGCAAAATAGTCATATAGCTAATAGCATGAAAAAATAAAAGACGTTGCGTAGACTAATAAAAAAGAAAAGCATATAGCATATATATGTGTATAAAATGTGTAGTGTATTTATTTTTATTTTCATTTTTTTATAAACATAAAGTATAGCGAATTGAATTATACTAAGTTTGTCAATTACATTGAAAATTGACCTAAGTTATTCTTCAATCAGTGAAAATAGTATATTACTGAATAATAAATAGTATAATTCTTTTTAATTGTACTTTACAATAATCGATCACAATTATAAGTACGTATGTATTACCGAAATATTGTCTTGAATATGATAGCCAACGCTATATATGCTTACTGTATCTTATAGGCAGTGTTTAAAATTCAGTATTCTTATAGTTCTTAAAGAATATTCAATTTTCTTTAAAAACATTTATATTTAAAATAAGGTTCTCATATTTGAGAACATTTTATTCTTTTAAAATGCTCTCCAAAATATTCAACATAATGAACTATTGCTCCGAAAGGGTTCTAAGGTCGACCTGAACTTAAGTAAAATTGGTTGTATTTTAATATCTATAGATTTGTATATTATGTACTGTATAATTCTATTATTATAAAATTATTTTATAAAATTAAGTTTAACTCAAGTTGGCATAAAGGATCTTAAAGTTTGGGTTTTTAATTTGGGTTACCAGAATTAACTTAACTCTTTAGGAGCACTATAATGAATATTAAAAATTGTTTGAGAACATTAATAATTTAAATTAAGCTCTTTTTGAAAACATAAATTTAAATTTGACTGCTTATAAGTATGATCCTTATACTTAATATGATCATCTTTATACTTATAAGTATGCTCGTTTTCATACTTATAAGTTGATGAGTCTGATAATTAAATATATGTATAAGAATATAAAGCTATACTACACTACTATTTTTATTTTCCTACTATACGTGCACATTTAGTACATACGTAGTATACGCACAAGAATGCTGAAGTTTAAAATGTCTTTTCAAGATTTTCACTTAAATGCCTTAATCGATTCAAATAAAAAAAAGATCTATAAAAATTTTTCAAAATATATAACGATTTGTTCCCTATTATCTTATTGTACAATAACTTTGTGTGATAACTATGGTCTAGACCCCTGTTTAATGAAAACCCCCAAATACACATTTGTTTAGTGCAATGGAATTACCAGTCGTAAAACTGTATTCTACTTTGTATCGTAATCCACGATAAATTTATTTTTATTATAACAGACGATCTAATGCAATTTCTTGATAATGATTATTATTTTTCGATTTATATCATTTCATCAAAATACAATATGGCTATAATATTGCATATCTATATTAGGTCTATTAATTGATTTTTTGAATATAGATTAAAGTATACAAGCTGGGTCGAACAGATAAAATCCCTTAATCTGGCATAATATCCGCTACGATAGCTACAGTAATACTATTTTTTTTTTTTTTACAAAATTGTCTTTATTTGGTAAGGTGCTACAATTTAAAAAGGTTCAATCTACCTTGCAAAGACCAGGTCAGAGAATAAAGAAGCCATGTGCGCAGAATAATGCAAATAAGAGGATAATGTATATACATACTCGGAAATGACTTATGCATTTACATATTAAAGGTAGATCTTGATTGATGTTCTAATATATGAACTATAATGCCAAATCTGCTAAAATTAGTACTTATACATTATTTAAAATTAATAGTAATATGTCTTGATTGATATTTATTTCGTAGCTCTGCTTTAATTCATAATTATCACAAGAGGTCAAAAAACCAGTTTATTGGGTATCACATGACCATGGTAATATGACTGTAGGCGGGGTGTTTCTATAACTATTCCAATAATTTCTTGCAAAAAATTGGCATGATTTTGGGGTTTCATGTTTACTATTTCTACACAGTTCATAACTATACTCTATGTTTATAAACCTAATAAGAAGACAATATATTTTGCTAATGAATGATGTATTGAGACAATACATACTTTCAATATCCATACATTGGCCAAGACCCTGATAAGATCTTTAATTTTATCAACTTTAGCTGATACTTCAAGAAGTTTTTCCCTTTTTAATATTAACACATATCCCTTAGGGCTACTTAAATATAGAACTTGGGCTTTGAGATTTATAAAACAAATTAACACAGTTTATACTACCAAACAGTAATAGATTGTGAAATACTCTATTTTATTTATCCAAGTGTAACATGCTAACAATCCGCAATTTCCTTACTCTTGCTTCCTCAAAATAGACTTTTTGGCTAAGGCATATAAGTATATTATGCATAGCTTTCCTAATTTATATCCATCAGAAAGTAATTTTGTTGTTTCAAATTTTTTGGCAACTTCCATTGCTCTATACTCTACATTGTCAATATACATTCGAAGTATACCATCCATTCGGTATCCCATCTTCTTACACTCCACTTTTCTGTGACGAGTATGTGCTCTCTTTCGATTCTTTCTCATGGACACAGCGTCACTTGACGATTCTTTTCTATTTAAAAGTTCCAATTTATAGAGTTAGCGTTTGTTAGAATTAAAAGTCGGTGAAACTGGGTGAATACAGAAGCACCTATATATAGTACCTGACGGTTTCCATTCCTATTACATTTCGAAGACTGTGATCAATGATTAGAGACCACACATTTATATCGAACCAGGATTCGAGGTGTTGCTTTTGTAATGGTTTATTTGGATCTTTAAAATCAGTAAGACTTTTTTTTTTAAAAAAATGAAGAGAGAGAAATTATATTAAATAAAAAAATTAAATTAGCAGACTAAAAAGTAAATACATACAATTTTCTTATTACGAGTTCAGCTCACTCTGCATCATAGTGAGTTTTACGATTATAAGGCTCATCTTTATTTAGAAAAGACGTGGTGTTTAAGATTTGTCTTAGTTTGCTTTTTGTTTGAACCTTAAATTGGAAATATTATTAAATTTATAAAAAAAAAAATTTTTAAAAAAGAAGCTAGTTGCAACTTCAACACACATATTTGAGAAGCATATCATAGACTCTGCAAATGTCTTATCAACTTGTGGTAATTCTCTTACAAAATAACAAATCTCATTCTATTCTTTCACACTAAATAACTTTTTAGCTTCTCGATCATCCAAATCAATGATCCATGAATGGAGATACGTTTCGGTGGGCAGTTGTCTACAGTATTTAAAAATAATGTCCTCGACATATTTTTCACTTGATAGAGCCCACTTTTTATCTTAGTTTATTTTTGCGTAGGATTTTTAAAATTCTTTGAGCTGGGATAATACTAACAAAGGTGGAGGATTTTGATCTTCTATATCACTTGTATTATAAAATAATATGGGTTATTATTCTAAGATAAAATCAAAGAAATTGCAGTCAAATAAATTATTAAAATACCTTAGTGCATAATCAGAACTATCATCCTCAGATATTGGTATATAATCTAAATCTTCCTCGGCCTGCAAAAAAAAAAAAAAAAAAATTATATCAGTCTAAAAATATGATATTAAAACAATTTGCTCTGAAACATCAAATTATTATATGGATCAGTCTGTACTATTGAGTATTCGGGATTTTTGATCAACTTTGATTATTCATTGGACTATATTTTTGAGTAGATACTCTACACTTAGTGCAAGTCTTGTCACATAATACCATATAATGATTTACTACAATTCTTGTCCAAAGTTTCAAAATTATATTTTTATTTTAAATATTAAAATTGATTGAACATCAGATATTTGAATTTAAGAAAATTTCCACTGAATACTCATAATGATACGGACTGACCTATATCTAACCCAAAGTTTGTGTAAAATGCTAAACTCAAATTTAACCATACGTGACACATTTGTTTAAAGTTTTCAGAAATTTTAATGTTATATAGTTGACATATATGGTTTCTATTAGAGATATTACCAGTGTTTGAAATTAGTTCTGTACCCTGTTTTTTTTGTTGTTTGCTTTATTAGAAGTGCCTTGTTCATCACTTGTAATTTCTGATCTTCACTGTCTCTTAATCTGGTTTGTTGATCTTTGTTTAGGAGAACTCTTAATGGGGTCAGTTGATCTTTGTTCAGGAGAACTCTTAATAGGGTCGGTCAACCTTTGTTTAGGAGAACTCTTAATAGGGTCAGTTAATCTTTGCTCAGGGGGACTTTGAAAGAAATTGTTTATTTCATCATTTAGATCCTACAGAAATACAGTATAAGATCAGTATAATGAAATGAGATAAATTTAACCGAATACTTATATTATACCACTTGCGTAGCTCTAATTGTTGGCCAGAATATAATTGCTTTTCCTCTCTTATATGTATATTTAATGAAGTTTGGTATTTGTACTGTATTACAATTAGTTGAAAAGAAGGATCAGAAAGTTAATGTTTAAAGTACAAGATAGTCAAATAAGATATAAGATAAATAATAATGATGTTTAAAAGTATACGTGAGTATAATAAAGTACATAAAATAGATAATAATAACATAACTATATTATTGAACTTACTTCTTCGACTATTTCTTTTCGTGCCAATTCACTAAGCTTAGCCATTAAATTTTTTTTCATCTTTATCTCAATCTCAAAAGTAATAAATGAATTAATAAAACAATATTATGTGTATCATAACAATTAATATAACAACGAAAATACAGGGTAGAGCATATAACATCCTGCTTAATAATGATACACGCCAAGGAAACCCAAGGTGGAGCGTATAACACCCTGTGTATTGATCTGATTTAAAGCCAAGTTATATGTCAAAACTTTCCTTTTCTACAAACAAAATTGATAATAACATGCCAAGAAAACTCAAGGTAGAGCATGTAATACCCTGCGTATTGATCTGACTCAAAGCCAAGTTATGCTATCAAAAATTTTGCTTTTTGCACACAAAATTTACTGACCTTAAATGACTTTTTTAATAAAGCTACCTTCAAGTTTTCTTATGATAAAGGGCCATATTTTTGTTTGATCACATCTAGACATTTCTTGTACTGGTTGTTATAAGATCTCACAAGATTAAATAAAAGTAACTTGTTGATAAAGGTGTAGTTAATAAAACCTGAATAAGACCAGCTATCAATAGTGTTTTTATAGAAGTAACTTAAAAAATATGTGTGTTTTTCGTTTTCATCCTTAAATAAACAAAAAAAATTCATTTTAAAACAGTTTTGCAGTTAATAAGATTTTGATTTTGCAGTAAAAAAAATATGCAATAACGCGTCAGTTTTATAGAAGGAAATTCGCTTGATTGGCTGATGTAGATCAATTGCCCAGGTAACTTTTTGAGAACATGACAGTTCACTAATACAGTCAGGTATTTTACATGATTTAGAAATGATCTGCAATATACTAAGAGATATTCTAAACCCAATTTCAATATGGGCTAATTTGAGAAATTGCTAATATCTTTTGATCTACTAATCCGTTCTGGATGATTTAGCTACCAAAATGTTCGTCTCAATGAGACGATTCTAACGAGCCCAAAATCGTTAAAATCCAATCACGGAATCCTGAGATCATTCAAGTTTTATGCGATTTTAATAAGAGATTTTAGAATTACTATGTAAATATGTTTGACAGTGAATAACT